TTACGTAAGTATAACATTTTTTTGCGTTTTTCAATATGAATTCAATTAATTATTTTAGTTTCATGTGCATTTGCTTCACCATTTTATTATCATTATGGTGTTGATGAATACCAAGTGTGTGCATTATTAACAGATGAAAATTTACAAAAACATTTTCGAATTTATACTGTTACACTTTATTATTTTATTCCATTAACAATTATTCTTATATGTTATACTAGATTACTTTATTATGTTTATTCGAAAGAAAAGAATGTTAAACCAAAATCGGTAAAATTCCAAATTTTATTTTATAATAAATTCGACTCTATTCCTTTTTTTTCTCTAAATAGAAATCTAACGTTGTTAAATGGTCAAAGAAACGTCGTGCTGTAACAAAAATGGTTGCTATTGTTACATTAGTATTTTCGATTTGTTGGTTACCTATAACATTATTTATAGTTTCATCATACGTTTTTGAACGTAAAACAGCGTTGTTATATTATTTTAAAGTAATTGGAAATTCATTTGCATATTTAAATTCAGCTGTTAATCCAATAATATATGCATTTTTAAATCGAAGTTTTCGTAATAATTGCGGAAGTATTCTTACTAAACCTACTTGTTCATTATTTTGTCAGAAGAATTATCAAAAACAAGAACAAAATAATAATCATCAATTAACAAATTTCTTTTCAACAGATAGAAAAGATGTTATAATTGATAATAATATTCAATTAATACCACATAATGATTCAAATGATGATTTTTCCGATGGTGAATATGAAGCAGTTGAACCAGATTGTTCTGCTCGATTAGTTGTCAATAGACAAAGTCATTTAAATGATTTCTGTGATCAACAATATGGAGTGTTATTAACTCATAATGGAATCAATGATGATCGACCTTTTGTAACAAATCTCTAAAAGAGAATTGAGATGAATATATTTTATTTTTTTTTGTCTATAGTTTTTTAATCAAGATTAACTTGTTTATTAAATATTTTTGACATTTCCATATATTCTTTAAAATAATGACTTATTTGAAGTAACAAAATGTCTATGTAGATTAAACCATGTCGCATCATTGAATTCATATACGAAATATTTAAATATATGAAAAGAAATTTTTTCTTTAATAAGATTACAATATAAATCCATACATCAACTTTTCATAATATCTATAGAAGATATTAAGCTTGTTTTTAAGAACAGATTTTCTTTTGATAATTATACTGTATGACAATATTAACATTTAATGACCTCTTCATACAAAGACTGATACTACATTGGTGATAGGATACGTTGAGAATATTTTCTTTAAACTATTAGTTCGATATAATGTAAAAGAGATCATTGAAGACTGGTTCAAAGAGGTCATTTATATAATGCTTGAAAGAATATCAATAAAAGAAAAAGATCTATAGAAAATATTCCTATTAATATTAATGTAGTTGATGAATGCAAAAATCATCAAGTATAAAAAATATGAATTTATATTGATATTCATCGAAGATGTTTTGCTATTTATAGTTGTAATTATTTTATTTCTCATATTTTAATTCCAGAAGAATTAAACTGATATTTTTTGAATAGTATGATATTCACATGATTATCACTTTAGTAATAGCAAATTTATGTTGTGACACAATCGAACTGTCATTTACAGTCTGGTGAAAATATAAAAAAAACATTAAATGTCACTAATATTCTTATTTAGTTCGTCATATACACGTTTTAGTTATTACTAATAATAATAAACGATAACAATTTGACCTTTATATATGTTTTGTAAAAACACTGAAATCTAAGAATGTACCGATTCACATAAAAACTTCTTGCCTGGAACAATATCAATCCATAATGTTTTTATCTTCTATTGGCGAAAACATTTAATATATATCTGGAGCATATGTTTTTATTGCTTGAAGTCAAATAATCAATTTGTAGAAAAACTAGTTTACATATTAAATGATTTTAGATGGAAGAAAAATTGTAAAAACCAGGTACTTTCTCTTTTTATTCTAACTATTAATAATAGAAAAATTTCTATTATAACCAATGATTAAACTCAACAGATTTCAGTATGCTGAAACTCTAGTAATAAACAAAGTGAAATAAAACCAAAGATTTGTTGTTATTACAAAGTTTCTTCTAAATATGAATGTATTATTTAAAAAATAAATATCTCCATGTAAAGTTTGATATGTTTATAATAGTCTATTTTTCTGCGGTATATAATTACAGAAGCTCAATAAATGTGATTATACTAATTACATATATGTTTACTTTTATAGATTATATAAAATTTGATTAAATTATGAGCAAAGACATAGAACGTATAGACAATAATAGAAATCGTTGCAATATATCTCCATATCAAGTTACAAAGATAGCGGTCTTCAATGCTTCAAAGTGAGCTTCGATTATTCGTATATCATATTTTCATAGATTTTGAATAAAGCAAAAATGTTTTTTTATGTAGTCTGAATTAGGTAAATCTCATCGACGTGGTCATACATTACCTCCATTGAATTTTATATATGGTTTTAGAATCGCTCAACAAATTATTGATTTATTCCTAACAGTAAAAAAATCATATCTACTAGAAAATTTCTTACAGTATAAAAATACAGTAATCTATAAGTATGCTTGCTGTAAATGTAAGTTTTCCTTCATTCTCTGCATCTAAATACAGATTTTATACTATTTTATAAGTTTGTCCTGTACATGTTTATATGTTATGAAAATTTTAATTTTAGTATAATTCAATCCTTATTAACAACTTGATAATATGATACCTGATTATTTTTTTTATATGTATGTGTATGTCCTCCTTTTATCATACTATGTGTTATAATGTTTTCAAGTCTTTAACAATCTGTACAAGGTTATATTCTTGAAAATGACTTTTTAACTAGACCGAAACATCGAAAATAATTTTCTCAATAAAGATAAACAAAATCTAATTTTTTTGAAAAATAATAATGATATTTTGTGTCTCTGTCATATACAATTTTTTATTGAATGTAAATAATATAAACTTTGTCAATGTAGATTACTAACTTTGTTTTTAAATTAAAATACATTTAAATTAGCATATAATTCAACAGCTTATTATTACATCTTAACTCTATATTATATCAACAGTTGTTTCGACATAAAGAGACTATGAGAACACTATCAAAACTCTTAAAATCTAAGTATATATATATAGTTAAAAACTATGTATACATTTGAAGAATCTATCAAATATACATCGATAATTATAGATATTCATTTACATTAATTTATTTATTACAGTATTATTTTTAAAAAATCATTTTAAGCGAATTATCGATTTCTAGAAAATGCAAAATTATTATATTCACTGAGCATTTTGCTAGTATTCACTAGTTTGATATCTTTTGTATGTATCCTTCGTTTTCGTCATGCATGAGTTACTTTCATAATAATGATCAATCTAAGCAATCCATTGGTAGATCTGTAAACATAGGTATCAATGAAAAGGTAATCAAAAATTATATCGTTACAAAGCTATATTATAATATCATGATTGTTTTTGTGTATAGAATAATGTTAATATAAACAACAAGCGTATGCTTTGTTTTTATGGAGTGAATAAACGACCATTATATTTTAACGATCGTCAAGATGAGTCATTTCTTTTTTATGCCTATTTTTTGTATCTGTTTGCGCACCTTGCTTCGTATTGAGAAAGAAAAATCGATATATTTTCGTTACGCTTTCTTTCTCCACTGTCTTCGTCGTAACTATATAAGAGTTAAATTATCCTTGCAAAATTAGTACCACTACACAATAATTATTTTCTCATTCGATACAAACGACGACAATGGTTAATAACAAGACGCTGGTGTATATCATGACTTTATTGATCTTATGTTCAATCATCTGCAAGGCCCGCTTCATCGATGACTTTGATGAAGATGCATCGGTCGATAGTGGCGAGCTGCTTATTAAGAAATTTCTTCAGAGAGCTCTTACAAAGTCTCGTTGTTTTGGCTCTGGCAATAAGTGTACCACCGGCGCTGAATGTTGTTCCGGTCAGTGTCGTTCTCCTCCTTCTACTGGCTTTTATTCCTCTGGTAATAAATGTGTTGCTAAACCAAAGTAATACACATATTCTCCTAAAACTATTTATTTATTCATTTAAAATTTTTGTTTTCTTCCTAATAAAAATGAGTTGCTCTTATTAACATATAAAATATAGAACATTAACATTTTTTAATTATTTAGTTAGTTTCATATATTTCATCTACCATTTTCTTTTTTATATCGTCTTTTTTATTTTTCAATAAACAAAACTAGTTAAAAATACCTCTTATTTTTTCTTTTTTTAAATAACACAAAATGTCATCAAAGAACAATAGACGAAATAAATCTTCTAATACACTACAAACTAGAAAATTAGTTATAAGAGTACAATAAAGAATATTCCAGAGTTGCTCATATGAATTCACCAAAGAATTTTTAGCTCTTTGAAAATAATATATTTGAAATATTAAAAATAATAAATCTGATTTTTCAATTAGAAAATCGAAAATGAATTTATTTAAATATTTCTAGAATTTGGAGTTTATTTAGCAATTTCAGTATTTTTTAAAAACTTAAAATACAGTTTGATTTAATTTCAATTGAAATTTATAAACATTTAAATCATGTAAATGCGCCGAATCAAATAAATAAATAGTTCTAATATTGGAAAATATATTTTATCGAATTACTGAATAAAAAAATACAATAATCTATATCTCTCTGTTTTTTCTATGTCTCCTAAAAAGTGAAGATATGAATGAACGTTTGCATTTCGATTTCGGTCGGAACGTCAGAAAGCTTTTAATACAAATAATTCGTTCATGAAAATATCATTAAATTAATTTTTTCTCAACTTTTGGTTTTTATTGGATAAAAAAGAAAGAAAGAACGAACAGTTTTAACATATGAAATAGACAAAAGAAAAACTACTTACAATAAACAAATTACTCTTCTTTTATAATATGATAAAGAACACAAAAGAAATAAACGTTCAAGGAATTTCGACAATCATAAACTAATGTTCTGGAAGTGCTTTTAAACTTGACTAAAAAATACATCCATAATAGTTTAACGAATGATTAACGACTAGACAACAACAAAAAAAACACAATGTAGAATTTAAGAGTAAATACGACGTAAAATAGTTTGTTTTTCAATGTAAGCATTATGTAAACCGGTTACAAATTCTTCATCATTCTATAAAACACAAGAAATAAAAGTATTTTTCTTATAGATAAATTAAATGTACTTACTTGAAGTATGTCAACTAGTAATTGTCGAAGATTATCTTTAGAAAACTGATTCACAGATGGAGATTGTTGTTGTTCACAATGATTACAGGATAAAGACTCATTTTGTGTAGAAGTAGTTAGAACTAAATTTGTATAAAATTCAAATCTTTAGTCATAGTTATTTGTTCTGATATACTGTTGAGTTATAAAGAAATATAAGAGTACATCCTGATCGATATAATCCTATTAGGAAGATAATCATTGTTCATTGACAAAATTACATCAAAACTAAAGAATCTATATTGTCATGCGACATATAATATATTAATATTGTCTTGATAAATAGAAATTCACGCATGAATAATTAACCAAAACGAAAGTAAACAGCTGATAGCTATGAATTATCTTTTTCATCATTGAATTAATTGAACGAACAATAAATATAAGCTATAGTTTAACTGAATTGTTCATCAGACTCAATGAATATTACTGGAAACAGAAAATATTAACTGTCTTTGGTATTTCTATTGAGACTTTTCTCTTTTAGAAAGTCAATCAAAAATTGTAATGTATAGAATAAGTTTAGATACTAAACATAGTTTGTTCAATTATAGCCCAAATTTACTGTAAAAATTCATATGAGCTGATTGCGTCTGAATTGTAATAGATTTGTGACGAACGGGATAGTTTTAAAAGATTTTTTGAAATTATTTCTCTAACAGAAATTACCTGGTGACTGTGTAATTTGTAATGCTTGAAAGTCTGCTGGTCTCATTAATCGATTGCTAGTCGTAGGAATTGTATCATGCTATAAGTATACAATTATGAATAATCTTTATCTGTTATTCAATAAAAAAAATTACTCCATAAAAAGGATTCGAATTTAATGAAATGGAATGTGAATGTGTTGCTATATGAGGTGATAACGATTGAGGTGGAGTTTGTATTTGACTCTGAATTATAATACTAGATAAGTATAAAAAATGATATTTATAATACTTTCGTTGCAATTGGTATAGACTTCACAATAATATCATTATTACTAACAGGTTTTGTTGTCTCTTGAGAAGATGATGATGATGATGGTTGAAGTAATTGTTTTTCTAATTCTGTTACACTTAATGCTGATTTTCCTGGTATACCTAATGTTTTTTTTAATTCTTCTCCACGTTCTTCACTATTCATAGTCATTTGTGTAGATGTTTCTTGTGTTGAAAATAATCGTAAAAGTACAGCAGGCATTGCTGCTGATATTTCACTGTTATTTGTATCTTGTTTACGTTTCTAATATCAAATAAAAATCAACAGAAAAAAAAAGAAACAATGAAATTATTATTTATTTTTATCAATTTACAGTTTCTTCAAATTTATCTTGAGCATT